AATTCTACACAACGCTTTGCTTCGCCACTGTCCCTCAAAGGGCGCAACGACATGATGGACTGCTCACATTTTGACTCACTTTATCAGCCCTTATCAGTTGCCATCACTTTGTATCACTCATCAAATACACCTCCGTCCAAGTTCTTATATCACTTTCAATTGTCGTCCCATCTTTGCACATCCAAACGCATCACCAAGAGTTTGGGCGCTAAGGCCTTGGATCCCACAAAAACTATCAGGGCTTGCTCACCGTTTGATTTCCCAGTTGCGTCGCAGTGTTGATCATCTATGCTCTCTCCACGGATCCTTTTACCGTACCCACCTACTCCCTTTATTTCTTATGCCCTCTTTGTGCGAGCTCCTACTTCCTAGACTTCTCCGCAGCGTAAGGAGGCTCGAATTTTGTGTGTATTTCACAATTCTTTCGTGTTGTTTTCAAATTGCATTTTCATGCATGCCATTTTCCATCCATGTTTTCATATTTGAGTGGGATTATCACATCATTCTATTCCTGATCTTTGCCTTTAACACGGCAGTCACTTCCACACTATGTGAGAAAGATTAAGTTTTGACATGTGAAATATACCGTGAATTCGATATGCAAATAAACTAGTAAAATCCGTTCAGCTCAAGTATACTCACTTACCCTGCGACAGAGTGTATCATAGTCCAGGCCAAGGTGGTGCACAAAAACAATGTGAATTTCTTGTCTACAATAAGTGCAGCCGACCAAAAAGACATGAATAGAATTGGATAAGTGCAAGAGCTCACAAGTGTCTGAAATTCTATCCTTATGTGCAGCCTCACAGACAAATAATACAATCTGGTAAGAAGAGAGCTATAGAGCATTGCACTAGAATGAGATTGAGAAAAGTATATTTTCCCAAAATTCCATGTAAACTTTCGGAAAAATACGGGTGTGCTACTCACTACAACTTTAATTGTGTAATCAGCGCGGTAGATGCTGTTCTTCTATTTCAAAAGACCGTTACGACATGCGCTCCTTCATTTGTGAAGTTAGAAACGCGCACAACAAGTACTGATGCAAAAACAACGATGTGAGAAACGATTTACCGTGCAGTTTACAGTCGCTCACCTGTGCAGAGAACAGAAATTCTCTCCTGCGTTGTCTAGCAGCTTCCACTTGAGCAGCGTGTGCTCCACTAGTTTTGATCTTCTAAAGCAAAGGTAAGAAATGCTTAGTTGCTCACATCATCACCGCATTTTTATTTGAGGAATGTTCGAAAAGTCTTGTGACTGCCACACCATTTTTGCTTTTCCTTTCGCTGTGACACCCTGGCAGATTTCAGGTTTGCACAATAAGGTGCCCAAACAGTGAGAAACAAATATTTTTCTAATAATATATATTCTTCTTTTTATTGAAATATTTTTCTTCCTAAAGATACCGAAAAATCAAGAAGTGATCCCATCCCGAACTGAAGTATAAGTCATTCTGAACTTTTCGTCGTTTTTTCCATATCTAGGCAAAAAAAACAATCACATCTGGATTCGACGAGTTAACGGTCGAGCATCGCGTTCTGGCAAGAAAATCAGTGAAAAAGAAAGACTATTAGACAGTCAACTAGAGGTAGTAACTCAGTAAATTGTGCACCATTGATTGCTTTGTTTCGGAGGGGCATCGAATGTGAGTTATTAGCCGGCTCAGTCAATTTTCCTCTATGGTATTCCCATCTGCAAACCTGCAACATGGTCAGTTTACAGCAAATATAGAAAGGATACACTGGTTCTATAGGGAGCTTTCGTTTGAAACACTAATGGCTATGCAAAAACTTGAGATCTTGGAGGAGAAATCTCATTCGAAAAAGGCAGTACTCGTCAAACAAGCTAATAGTCCCGATTAGGAAAACGACGTTAGGCGTGGGACTCCCTATATGAAGACAGTCCAAAAAGCCTGTTTTATGATTGGGGTTTGGACAACTGAAACATTCTCACCTCCTACCGCACTTCACCTTACTATATAAAAACGACCAGTTCTTCTCCTAAAGATGCTACGTAAATATTTTGAATACCCAGAATATATTTGGATGTTCACGTTTTGGACGCACATGACATACAGGAAATTTTCATACTGACGAGCAGTTTGCCAATGTTAACAGGAGCGGCTACACGCGCGTACTATCGAAAAAATGCCAGCAGCTACTTCAGGATAATTTATACGCCTAGGATAAATCTTCGACACATTTTCGGAACCCATGAACAAGCCAGTGAAATTACTAGTTCGTGATTGTTGCATCTAGCACTAGAAGCTCAGCAATTTGGAAAGCATATGTTCTCGAACATGATGACCAAGATTTGATGAAAGATAAAGATTAAGATAAAGATGAAACGAACTACAAGACATAATTCCAATATTGTTAGAAGGATAACCAACTACTAGCGGTTTATTGAATAGGCATGGTTTGCTGGTAAAAAGCACCCAATGAAATCCTCGGTGCTATCATTTAGTGTTTTTTAAAAAAATTGGAAATGTCCTACTCGTCTCAGTTTGAGCTGCACCATATTGACAATATCAATGGTAGATAATGTAACTAATAGGCTGGCGTTATAGTAGACATCTATCACGGAAAGAAGTTGACTACATGGCTTGGTACCATATAACCACATGGAACCGGTGTGATCATAGAAATAATCACAACCATCTGAAGGCATACAAAATTGTATACATTAGCAGTAGCAGGATCCCTCAAAAACATCACCTATGAAAAATACAGCTGAGAATAGAATGACGATGAAGATAACGAAGATGAAGATGCCGTTTGCGTTGAAAGTCCTGTTATAGTGGAGAGGAAAGGTTATGGCCATAAACCTGTATGTAAGTGAATATTTTCGAAGGAATTTGCATGGGGTTATGAGTCCAAAGCTGAATTCAACAGGTTTCATCTTTTTACATCTTCGAAATTATATAAGTACTTTTAGGCTAGTCGATAATTGCGCCATCTCAACATTTCTTGAAGGTCTCAATAACCAACCTTCCTAAAGATCATAGGCACAGACACTGTCTCCCTCCTAGAAGTAGCTCTCGAGCAGTGTGTCGATTCCACCGTCTCCTCCCACTCCCAAAGGAACAGAAGTTGGGCCTTACAAAAGTCGAGAGACATGATCGCGCTCTCCCTCCGAAGTAGAGCGACGTCAGTGCTGTAAGGAACGTAAAGAAAAACGAGCCGGACATACTTCCCCAAATCCTCTTTTATCGCTTTGCCGTGTGATATTGTATTGAAGAACAATCACTCAAAAAATCTCGACGAGCTGATTGATTTCGCTATTTCGTTTGAAGTTAATAGTATAATGACCTGTTGATGGAAATAAATAGCATGCAATGAACGGTCGTTTCGAATAAGGAAATTGACAGTTGGCCCATTCGTAGATTCACGTAATGGAGGCCAGAAGGGATTTCCCTAAAAATATGTTGTGGACATTTTCTCTGACACACACATTGGCGGGTCTAGCAAGATACTTGTTAAAAGGAGACATAATAATTTTTATCGAATTGTCTTCGTCTGGCATATTATGCAGCTAGTAAGAATCCTCAAATAATTATGCAATCATATGTTCCTGAAAAGTCGGCAGTGTTGAAGATTATCAATGTGTTCCCCAGAATGTGCCACGTACTTCATCTAATCCACTACATTGTGAGATTAGAATGAATGTTATTTTCCGAATTCTTAGATCTTCATTTCGTTTTTAAGCGCTTACTGGCTTTACGTGTTCCCTCTGCTCTCAATATCCCATCCTCTGTATATCAAGTGGAATCTTTGAACAGTTCTCAGCAGGCATAGTGGGCCTATTATGTGACATTTTCCATTTTCAGAGGAGATGTTTTGCAGAAAGCTGTGAAGATAGCGAACAATTTCCTTCACTGTCGTAGACTACGGTCACTTGTCTGTAGGAATTATATGGAACACCTGGTCGCAGGTAGGGTCAACCGCCCGTTGCGCAAAGAACAACGAGGGGGTCGTATTCGGCCGAACGAAAAGGGGAGGGGGTCGTATCCAGAGAGACGGGCTGCAAGACGGCTTGAAAAGTGCAGTGTCCGGCAGTGCACTTTCACGCTCTAATGTTCTCCAGGAGCTCTGCACCGTGCAGCTGTCGGAGAGTCACACAGACAAGAGCTCCATGGGAGCATTAGAGCATGCAGAGCATTATAAGTCTCACTATCAGCCATTATTATCCTTAATACACGGACGGCGCTTTTGCTCGACAGCATAGATCAAGATTACAATAGCCAAAAACTTTGTTACAGCGAGCTTTTTTATTTTTTAGTACCATACAGCCAGGGTGTCGCCTTCCTCTAAAGGAGAAATCTATCAGTGAGATGCACAACATCTGAGTGTGGCGTAGTGAACGACATCTCCACCTTGAATGCACCATATTTTAGTTCAACATCCATGATGCATGCATGCGATATGTCCAACAAATGTGAGATGTCCTATAATTTTGGTTAATGGTATGCTGTCAGTTCCTCAGATGATTCTTGTGAGGTGAGGCGTTGTTGGAAGTCCTTCTTCGAACAGGATCATTGAGCCATGATAACAGTGAACAGAGATTGGGCTACAAACTGCTCTCGCAGTCCACAAATTTTCGACCTGGAAACTACTGCTACGAAGTTCATTCACCTGGCAGGATCTACCGAAGCCCTATCTTGCTGCCTATCAATTCAGAAGTTAAAGAAATTTCAGGCTGAACGACCTCATCATCATTCATCTTGACAGGTTTGTTTGTTAACTGCTGTTTTAATGCCACAATTTTCCTTGCGAATATTTCACAAAAATACTGGTCATAGCAAAACTTCGCCTCAGACGGTACTAGGGCGGAAGTTTTGTTCATAATCCAGTACTCTTGTAAAGTTATCAGGTTAATATGAATAGAAGTTCTGCACAGCTGCACACACTTTTCCTTACATGTTACAACTCTTGAACGTTCAACAAGGAAAGATGTTTGATTAAAGATTTGAAAGAAATGCCTCTCTTTTGGTCGCTGCCTTACCATATTGTCCAGGGAGTGGCCCAGAAGGCACAAATGGTCAAGAACAATGCGTTTGCCAGAGCGTAGCAAGCAGCAAGGCGTCCGAAGGAATTATTGAAAGTTTGATGTCGAATCATTACAGAAAACGCCAGAACATTGAAAGCCATCCCAATGACAGATACCTGGAATCATTTGTATGTACCAGCAAATGCAGAAAAGTCAAAAAAGACCCGCTTACTCCATTGAAGGAATCTGCAGGGTTTTGTCTAGCAATCGAGGTTCCTCTATCACAAATTGCCGCACAGTAGTTATACAAAATATCATTCGCTAATGTTTTTTCCAGCAACTTGTGTGTAACGGGCACTGGCAGCCGGTGACAGGTTGGTCTTCACTGGGTAAATTTTGGAGTATACCTAGCGTCGAAGAAGTTGGCGGAGTGAGTGTCGTCGTGGCGGTGGTGTCCCACACCTGTTCCCCTGTACCTCAAAGGCATCATGTTGTGCGATACACGTTACCTAACCTCCGGTTGATCTTAAAAATGGATTTTACGATGAGAAGGCATTAAATTAAGTTAGAGGTGGTCAGTGACTCTTGAAACAAGAAAAAAAATCAGAAAGTTGCTCAGAACCCGAGAAATGGGACAATTTCCTTGCCGGTCAATTTGCGCATGATTCGGCTTTCATCGGTGTTGTCTCCTCAACACTAACTCTCGCTGCTAGAGATCTGCGACGAGCTGTAAGCCGAGCCGATGGGTGCGCCGCGTTGATAGTGCAGCGTAGAAGGCCATGCTAGATGGCTGGGGCATATCCTTTCATGTGAATTGTCGTCCGCACCCTTGAAGGTTCGTGTGTCTTTCCATTGGGTAAGTTTACCTTCTTCGACCTTCGTCTTATCGTGAAATCTCTTTTTAGGCGAGATAGAGGACACTTGCATGAGCACATTTCCATGGAACACTTATGGTTAATACACGACATTTTACGACATGATACAATGTGGCTATTAGGTCGGTCCATAATTTTTGAGAACCTTTGGTGTTTTTCGATTTAATTACTTATCTTATTTCTCTGATGTACTTATTCAGCATAGTATACATCACCATTATTACCAACATATAACCAATGCGAGGGTGGGTATTCAGTGTCTCTCTTGTAGAATTTCATAGAGTTCTGATCGAAGAAATATTGGATGTCGATTTTGACTTTATGGTGATTCAAGTGAGATTTTCACCCTCGCATTGGTGATATGTTGTAATAATAATGATGTATACTATGCTGGATAAGTACATCAGAGAAATAAGATAAGTAATAAATCGAAAAACACCAAAGGTTCTCAAAAATTGTGGACCGACCTAATACTTGTATGAAATGCAGGTAGAAGAAAGATCAAGTCGAACGAGAGCAATAGCTGGCCCTTATCATACAGTGCCGCAATCATGCCTTTCCAGTGAAAAAAGGACAGGCTCAAAATAGGACGTTACCACGTCGGCTCCTAACGTTTACCAGGAAAGCGCCATCTATCGTTCTCTCAGGTAGGCCTCTAATCTCGCAACAAGGCATCTTTCCCCTTTTGTTAGCACGGGCTTTGTTTGTAACAGACGCATTGTGTTTCAAGAAGGAGAAGCGTCAAAGGCTTACCAAGAAGAGGAGTACAGCCTCTACTATGAGTAATTGAATAGACTCTTCTTTTCCCTCTGACGGTACAGTGAGGCTTCCATTAGATACCATCAGATATCGTTTCTGAAAGTTGTGTATGGACAGATCAGGAATTATTGCCACTGTGCTAAAGTATAAGGATCACGATAATAAATATGGACGGAGTTTAAGAGCATGGTTGACCTCAAAAATAGGCTGCAATTGGTAGACTGGCATGGCTCAATTACTGCTGGTGATATCTGCAGAATTTTAAACTTCCACAATCAGTTCCACAAGAGTTCAGAGAAATGGATGTGATGTTGTGTAGCGCTATCGTACAACAGCAGGGTTATATAGTAGCAGCCTTCATATTCAGCACGTTCTGCGAATGTGTGCGCCTGGTCCATAGCAATAACAATTATAAAAATCCAGGAAAAGGAAACGGAAAAAGCGGAAAAAAAACAAGCCAAGAATCTCCGCCTTCATCCTTTTCAGAAAGAAAAACACTGTCTGTTGAATGACGGCGTTACAATCAACGCAAAGAAAGCTATTCTTATGAGAA